AATGGATATTCAAACAAGAAAACAGAAAGGAAAAGAGAGGGGCTGGCAGTGCCAGCTCAACCTAAAAGAGCCAAGGAAGCCTCTGTGCTACCACTGTGGTCACCTTTAGGGAAAGGCATTTCAGTGGCAATCATGGACGAAGACATGAACAAATGTTCCCAGCATTTCTAGAGCTTTCATTGTCTCAAGCTTATTTAATCTGGCTATGAGCTAACTCGTGTCTTGGTTCTAAGGCTTGTGTCTGTCACAGTGATTTTACACTCAACATCAGGCAAAAGAGTCAGAGCCGTCAACTAGGCCAATGGCATTTTCTACAATGTTCCTTCACCGGACGGGACCAGTGCAGCATCCACAGTGACTCATCAGTGTCTGTGAAGCTGCTCCATCAGATGAAAATATGAATCAAGCCCCCATTTGTTTATTTTCAGCTTCATGAGTAGGCCCTTCTCACCATACTACAAGACATAAATAAGAGAAATCCTTGCTCCCATTATATGGTTGGCATGTATTTTATAATTTTTCAGTGCTCTTGGCACAGTCTTTAAGAAGAAACTCAGAGCCAAACAGCACGTTCAGTCCCTCTTTCCCAGCAGTCAGTGACTTGTCTGTGCTCTTGAGACCGTGCATACCTTTACCATATGTGCTTTGGTGGGGGCTGGGGACAAGGAGGTCTTCTGCACACACTCCCTGTCCTTCACATCTTTCCTTTCATCACCCATGTGGCTACAAGTCACTAAGGAAACAGTACTGTAGTCACCACTAATTTCTAGCTACACATCAGTCCCTAAACCTACAACCTATGGACAGCTGAACAATGTTCTGTGTCCTCCATTCTTCTGATCCTCTGGGTCACATTCTGTTATTGGAAACACAATCAAAAGGCCATTTTGTACTTGGAACCTACAGGGTCCTCCCAGAACACTCCACACCATTGAAACAAATGTCAAATCACTTTAAGACACTTTGTTAGACTTTAGGTAATAAGCTATAGGACTATCTTCATAGTGTGTGTGTGTGTGTGTGTGTGTGTGTGTGTGTATAAATGTACTCAATGATAGATATATGTGTGTGAAAATAATTCATACATACATATATGACTATATGTTATACACTCTATTGCCTGTTATCTATGGTCCAACATACAAAATAATACATACCATGTTTAGATATATCTATAGATAATGTAATATAGTATATGATACATAGAAATACTCTCATATTTTCCTCCCTTTACTTATATCTTCAATTTGTTAATCAATCACACAGAGAATCTTCTGTGTAAGAGATGCTGCAGCTATCTGAATGGTTGTTTTTTCAGCCAATCATCTTATGCTGAATCCTGATTGGCAGTACAGTAATAACTTAAGGAGGGCATTTGGGAGGCAATGAGGCTCTACGGGATTTGCCATATGAACAAGATAAGTCCCTTTATAAAGAAGCCCAAAGAACACAGCCATAATATATTATCTATGAAGCATCATCAGACACTAAAGGTACAAGAGATGTGACCTTGGGCTTGAGGTCCCTGGAAGGGTAAGGAATGAATTAACATTGTTTGTATAACCCAGTGAAAGGCATTTTGTTGTAACAACCTGAGGAGACCGAAGCAGGAACCCTGGCTAGTGATGCATGGGTTACAAGGGGCCCTTCCTTCACTTTCCCTGTGCTACCTGCTGCACAGGCAGATCTTTGCTTCCTTGTGCTCCACGTCTGATCAGTGGCCAGTGCAGGCGAAGGTCTTTTTGACATCAAAGCCTGCTTTGGCTTCCTTTTCATGTCTCCCATCCATCATAATTGGATGAAAGTTTGGATACATTGGATGCAGTTTGCCCTAAAGGCTTTCTGTGTTAGATTCTCAGGGTTGCATATGAGGAACTGAGACCTGGAGTAAAGGCTTTAGGTCTCTGACACTCTTAGGGGATTAAGGCAGTTCTTGTAGGACCCTGGATTCAGATCTCAATAAAACAATTTACTCTAAAAGCTGAGGCTGCTAATAAGGTCTCAACCTTCCTGCCCTGGCAACGTGGCCTCGAACTCTCACAATCCCTGCCGACACTATGGTTTCATTCACCCTGAAGTTCACACCAGACTGAGCTGATGCCAACATTGGGTCGTTGAACCTCCAGATTGGGAGCTAAATAAACTTTACAAAGTTGGCTTGTTTTACTATTTCATTATATGAACCAAGCCAGACAAATGTAACACACAAATGACAGGAAACTCAAGTAGGTGACATTGTGAACAAAGGAGAGACGTCAAAGAGGCTGGATCCAGTTTTGAGGCTGGATCCTAAAAGGTTCAGTAACTTATTGTCAAGGGCTTGTCTAGGCCTGCTTGACTCTCCTCCTATAGGGGTTCAACATGAGGAGGTGGCTCAGTTAATAAAATGACAGCCCGTGCAGGCATGCAGATCCATGTGAATGCTAAGTATGTACATTTGGAACTCCTAGCACTGAGGCAGGAGAGACCAAGTGGAGCTCATGGGCCAGCCGATCTAGCCAATCAGTGAGCTCTAGATTCAGTAAGAGACCCTGTTTCAACAGCAACAAAAAGGTGGAGAGAGGCTAATGGAGACAAACGATATCAGCCTCTGGTCTCTTCACACATGCGCACACACGTGAACAAGTCTACCATATGAACACACATGCAGAATGTAAAATAAAAAAACAACTAGCCATGTGTCCATAAAAAAACACTTGAGCATGTCTTCCATTGATGCAAGTATAAATAATTCTAAAATAAATACTTAAAGATAAAGATAAAATTTACTAAGTTCATGTTTGTTAACTCCTGTTTGAGAGCATCCATGATTTTCCTTTGCTTTGCAATAACTCTAAATTGTCTGCAACCATGCAGGATGGACTTAATTATCCACATGTCCTTCACCTTTCTAAATAAAACAAATTTTAAAAAGGAGTCAGAGGCCAGAGTCCTGGAAGGACTGTTTTTTTTGTTATAACACACAGCAAGCCCTGACAAGCTCCCCGTCATAACGAGGTCAAGGAGAGCATTCCAAGCCGTGTCTTCTCTCTGGGAAGTGAGAAACCTGGGCAGGTCTGTGTAATGAGAAGCCTGACTGGTGTCCGTCTCTTATAAAAAGGACTTCATGATGAACTAATTTCCCTTTCCAATCACAAACCACCTCACCCCCAAATCATAGTTTGCAGTTGAGAACAGGGATTACTGCTTAGGATGTCTTCCCTATAAACAAAAAGCCCCTTTTGACTGTGCATAACTAGGGGATTCTTTCCAAACTTCTCAATAGCAATTAATCCACATGCCTGGAGGACAGCTAGACACAATAATCTTGAAGCTAGACTCCATATTACACCTTCCTCCCAACTCCTAAGCTTAAGTCTGGTGTCACTAGGGACCTGCATTCCTTCGTTCAGCGAGTTTACTGCCGCAGTTCCTCAGTCTCAGCCCCTGACGACCTCCTCATCTTCCGTCTGAACTGTACGAGACTGACCTTGTGTTTCTGTCTGTGTTTCTGTCTGTGTTTACGTCTATGCCCTGTGTGCTGGCAGAGCACTCCCTGCATTCACCCTGGCCCTAGGTAATCCCCAAAGGAATGTTCTCAGGGGAAAGAAGAAAGGAAAGTCACATGCTTCAAAAATTGAAGCAGCACACATCAAAGCAGCAGTCCCATTTCATCTTCAGACTGGGAATGCTGGTTATGTGTTTTTGGTTTTGGTTTGTTTTGCTTTGTTTTCCTACCCTGATGGCTGGGAAGAAATGGAAGAGACTTATTGTTCTCAACAGGCCAGAGAGGCTGCTAGAATGTTTTCAAGGGTGAATGGCTGCCCATGTCCATGGAGAGTGGGAACCTTGACCCTTGTCATTGTTTTATTTCTTGGATCTGCATACTTAAGAGTGACCTGGGGACCGATCCAGGAGGCAGTAAGGGAAGTGAGGTATCTCTGGAAGTCTGCTCTTCAGTTTCCTCTTTTCTGAATAGTTGACAAGACAGGCATGCATCTAAAAGCCACATTCCACCAACAGTCCCTTCATTCATCTGGATTATAAACAGTAATTATTTCCCACACATCAGCTGTGCAGTTAGAGAAGTATATTTCAAGCAACCCTTCTATGCAATTATAGTTTTTGTTTTCTTTTAAATGTTATATAATCTTGCTATTACCAACATCCTTCACCCCTTAATGTTTTAAAGAAAACACTTAAAGGCTTCACTGTTAATACCAATTCTTCTTCCATGCTGTCTCCACCCCCCTCCCCGTGTCAAGGACGACTAGGAAAGCCCTTGGAAGTGCCGCAAAGACAGCAGAGACTATGAAATAGCCTCTTGCCACTTCCCCCTGTGAATTCTAAGATCCTGCGTTTACGGTAAGGTGCACTTTGCTCTGACAGCCTGTGGAGTGAATTGAACTAACTCCTTCAAAGTTCCCACAGAGCTTGCCTTGACCTCGTGGCTCCTGTTGCTGTCACCTGCCTACAACAGTTTAACAAAAACAAAACACTTAAAAGTTTTCTCCAGTTCTGTGGAATGTCTGCAGGAGAGTGTGAGGCTCCCAGAACACTGACAACTCAGGAGGCAGGAACGAAAGCTGGCTCAGTACAGAGGGTCGGCGCCCCCACGCAAACACTGGGATCACAACCCACTCGACTTTGAAGAGTCACGTGGAAATTAAAGCTACTTCAGAGGAGAAGGTATACTCAGACACAGTATTAGGCAGGGCTGAAATTCCAGGTCACACGGAAGTTTCCCTCCCAGATAGAAGCCAGCAAGTGCTCCTTATTAATTATTATTAATTGCAAGACAGAGTTACCCTTTATCCCCTGCGTGAAAGGTGTCATTTAAGAAAAAAAAATCAGGCTGTGGTGTGAAAGGTGTCCTCTTCCCCCCTGGTGAGACCTGACTATGTCCCAGAGCTCAAGCGACTGTTCACTATCAGGCTACCAATTAGCCATGGTCACCAGCAGCGGCTAATCATCCAACTCCAGCTTGCAAAGGAGGTCTGAAAAACTCCCAAGAGCCTTACCATTGCGCTGAGATGCTCCCGCCTTACAGAGTCTAGCTGCCCCAGCTGGTGCTGATCTGCTGCTTCACACTGCCACTGGAGCCTTCCGAGGCAGGGCAGGTCTCACACGGTGCAAATGTATCGCCACCGGTTATATTTCAATCCCTCAATTGCTGGCCTGGATGCTCTGGCAATCAGCCAGCCCAAGCAGGAAGGGAAAGGGCTGCGGCTTGCGCTCTCAGCGTTTCCCATGGAATATGGTCTGAGAGCCACGGGCCCCTCATTTAGCATTTTAGCAAACACGGAGGGCTGCCACGCTCAGTCACATTTCCCTAGCTTTTCCTCTTCAGCCGAGAGCAGCCCGTGCCGCTTCCTGGAGTGGAATTACAGCACCAGTTCACACTGACCGGGGAGATGCAGGCACTCGATGTGTAGATGGCCACTTGCCACCAACCTGAACAAAAACAACTGCTTCCCAATCAGAGAAAAGGGGAATCCTACCTAGACAAGGAACTGGGCTGCTGTGCGCTCTGTGGTTACAGCCGTTGGGATTTATGCAAAAAAAAAAAAAAAAAAAAAAAAAAAAAAACAGGCTAATTCATTCCAGGAGGCTGTCAGATCTGGACAGGTGGGAAGAAAAGTTCTCCACGGAGACTGCATATCTTCCAGAATAAACTTGAACTTCAAATTCAGGGCTTTCTTTCTGAAAATGCATTTACGTACCCTGTGCTTTGGTATCATAGGGAGCTAACGGGCACTTTTCTTTTCCTATGTTGACTATTTCATTGCTTGAACGCAGCATCTCAAAAGGCTTGGACCACTGCACTAACACTCAACAGTGATAGCACACCATCCAAAGTTCGGTTCCTGAGTAGTGCTCCATGTAAGTCAAAACCTGTGCTGATGGGGTCAAATCATTTGTTTGCCTTCTGTTCCCTCTTGTAAGTTCTAACAGCGCGGCTAACCATACTCATCACTCCCAGCACGAAACCCATGTCACTATAACTATTTATTAGAGGAGAACTCTTAGGTTCACACTGAATTCCTTTCATGATTGTTTTTCCTCTCATCAAAAAGTTAATATTTGGGGTCTGGGGAAATTGCTCAGTGAACAAGGTGCTTTCTGTGTAAGCCATAAGCTCCTGAGTTCAAATCTAGCACCGTTATAAAAAGTTAGACACAGTACATGCACCTGAAACACCAGAACTGAAGAACAGAGACAGGTGGATCCACCTTTGAGGCTGGCTGTTCAGCCAGTCTAGCCAAGAAGGCAAATTCTTAAGTTCAGTGAGAGATTGTGCTTCAAAAGACTAAGGTGAAGAAATGGTTGAGGAAGATATTTCTGAGTTCCACATGCATGGGTGACCCTTCCTATACCCACACAGACACCACACCCTTCCCACACAGATGTACAGAAATAATAGACACACTTCTAGTTAGAGCTAGAAAGACCAGGGATATGTTCTGGCACAGTTAGGCTATTGTCTCAGAACTGATTAAGTCAAGGACCGAAATGCATGCCAGTGGCTAAAGAATCTGAGCTTGTGGATGAGTCCGTGGCATTTTTCAGTCTGGATGGCATCTAGAAGTAGCTGACTCAGCACTCTGGAGCAACCATTCACATTTCTGCTGCTCATGGGCAGTGGTCACTCAGAACAGAGAAGCGAATATGGTACCCAGCAAGATGGTATTTGGACAAGACATAGCTTGCTGCTTCTATTCTAGACCCATCTGGGGTATTTACAATACCTGAGAAGAGTCACTCTGAAGTTCTGGAAAGTCAGAAGCTTGCTCCCAAGCTGGGATGAGCCACATCGCCTATTTTGGGCTGTCACTTAGTCTCCTCCTTGAGTGATGTAGGTGGGCCTTATTTCTATATGTTGCTTTCATTGGTTAATTAATAAAGAAACTGCTTGGCCTGATAGGCCAAAATATAGGTAGGCAGGGGAGACAGAATAGAATAGTGGGAGAAAGAAAGCAGAGACAGGCAGTCGCCATTTTAAGGCCAATTTTGTTATATATATATATATATATATATATATATGTATGTATGTATGTATTTCTGATATTGATTAAGGTATTGTAATTGTGTAGTTCATTTGAAAATGTAATGTATAATTAGGAAATATAGGTTGTTAATGGATAATCATCGATACCAGTCAAGCTTGTAGTCATGTTAGATTTTCTAGATATATAGAGATATATTTCAGTTAGATAGGCATTCTTCATATCTTTCAAAGACTACAAAATATGGCATTTAATGTTTTAATAACTTAGGGCTTTTCATGACAATGAGACACGTCTGCTCCTGGCAGCACCAATCCACTTCAAGAGAAAGATGGGCATTGAAGAGGCTCCTTATGGAGTTGGTTAGCCATTTGGGCAAGAAACTGCTCTTGCCTGGACTGTTGCATGAACTGGACATAGAGAACCCGCAGAGAGAGGACTGCTGAACTTCCTAAAGGTGAGATGATCTTTCGGGGTTCCTGATTCATGAAAGAGTCTGCGAGACATTCTGCAGGACACAGCAGATAATGACTAAACTGTGTTTGAAATTTCCTGCTTCATGGAAATGTCTGCTGAATACTATGGGCCTGAAGGCCAAAGATGAATGCCCCAACGATACAAAAGAACTTTGGGTGACTGTCCAGACAGCGAGATGTCTCTGTCACTTCTAGAGTTTGAAAGTTGCTTATTTCTTGTTTAATTAGGTAATATTATATCCTTCTGGAGTCTTTGGTGGAGTTAAAGAATAAATATATAGTTATAGTTTTCCTTAATTATGATAAAAGATAAAATAGATATAGATATTGTAACTATAATTCTTGCTTGATAACTGTTTTGCTATATGTAATTTTACTATGTTAAAGTTAAAGCCTCCCTTTTTGTTTAAACAGAAAAAGGGGAAATGATGTAAGTGGGCCTTATTTCTATATGTTGCTTTCATTGGTTAATTAATAAAGAAACTGCTTGGCCTGATAGGTCAAAATATAGATAGGCGGGGAAGACAGAATAGAATGCTGGGAGAAAGAAAGCAGTGAGGCAATCGCCACGACTCTCCTCTCCGAGACAGACACAGGTTAGGACCTTTCCCGGTAAGCCACCACTCGTGGTGCTACACAGATTATTAGAAATGGGTTAGATCAATATGTAAGAGTTAGCCAATAAGAGACTATAGATAATGGGCCAGGCAGTGTTTAAATAAATACAGTTTCCGTGTAATTATTTTGGGTAAAGCTAGCTGGGAGCCGGGCCGCAGCCCACCACTCCCACAACTACACTTTAGGACACATGGGTGCATAACCTTAACTCTTCCTTACCTGCCCTTTTCCACAATCTCTTGTTCTTGCAAATAATGGAAGCCCCCAACACACCATTAAGAAAATGCCATCTTTCCTTCTAGTGGTTATTCTGGAGTCAGATGCACTGCCGTTGCACAACAAGGTCCTTCTACTGGTTATTCTAAGGGCAGCAACAATCCTTCCATCTTCTGGAAGATGCCTCTGATGGCTTTGACCATGACAAACTCTCCTGCCATTATGGGCAGGCACACATCTACCAGTCCTGCATTTAATCACACGTTGTTTCTGTTGTGCTGGAGGGGCCTTGTGTGCTCAGCAAGCACTATCCTACACCCCAAAGTCTGATTAAAATTCTCAAGTTTACTCCTTCCTGGTAATTAGCACAAACCAATATTATCCTCTGTGTTGTTTAATATCCCACACACAGGCACTCTGGATGCTTCTTCTCCTACTATCGCCCAACAGGTATCTTATATTTAGTTGCAAAGAACTCTTCACAGTGTTTTTAGAACATTGTACTCAGTCTTGCTACCTGGCTTTGCATGCAGTGTGCTCCCAGATGTTCCCATAGACATCCTTGCTCAATCTCCACTATCTCTGCAATCTTCCTTCCTTCTCCCTAGGGACCAAATGTCAAACTGAAGTATGTGCTGTCTCTATAGCTTTGTCAGAGTCTCACACAAGCCCAAGAAGATTTAGGATGAGTGCTCCATCTGCATGATTATGAAAAGTTCACACAGTGTATTGATGCTTTTTTTTTTCTAAGAAAGAGGCCCTTTTTCAGTAAGAGATGATGGAAAAAGATTTCCACATGATCATTTGCCTTTTGAAGGAAATAGGATTCTACTGATTAAAAAAAAAGATCAACACTCACGTTCTTTGAAATAGTTAGACATCACTTGATTTGGTTAGACTACATTGAGTCACTGAATCACATAGAATTTCCCAGTACCAAACATTAATAGGAAGAAAAATTTAAATTTTTGCAGATAGAAGTTGAAGAAAAATGTGGAATTTTCTGTAACACAAAAGTTTGCATATTTTTCATTAAAATGAATGTGAATGGCCAATAGGCCAGTGTTTTCCTTGCAGAGCTGGAACCACAGCTCTCCATGAATCTTAACAGATGGAACATCCACTTGGAATAATGAACCACCTCAGATCGACAGAGTAGAAAACCTAGAGACTGTGGTCTGATTCCTGTCTTTCTCCTCAGCACTCACAGCCGAAGCCTGATGCTCCATTTTGATGGTGTTTTTCCATTTTAATGGTGTTTTTTTCTTTCTTTCTTTCTTTCTTTCTTTCTTTCTTTCTTTCTTTTTTTTTTTTGAGAAGGAGGCGGTAGGACATTTGAAAGGTGATGAGGACATATGATGTGTCCTTATCAAAGAGATAAGGGAATCTGTTTGCCCCTCTTTCCATGAGTACACACATTTCCTCGGTGGTGAGAAGGTGTTATCTCAGAAGTAGAGACCATCTTCCCTCACTAGAAGCCTAAGCAGCCAGGGCCATCCTTCCTCTCAGCTTACAACACTGTGAGCCACAAACTCCCATTGCTGCTAAGTCACCTAATTGATGGCTCTTGGCATCCGAACAAAAGCAAAATGTATATTAGTAGCACATATTCCATTTAGTGTTTTCTTAGAGTCAAATTTTATCTTTTTAATGAAATCTTTATTGCACCTCTGAAAGGTATTTAAGATGTATTTGAGAAGTCTAACAAGAAGATTATTACCTCTCTCCATGGAGTAACAGTTTAGAGCGCTGGCTGGTCTTAAACTGATGGAAAATGTACTGCATATGCTAACAC